ATGAGGAAAAGAAGAACGAAAAGATGGTCGAAGAGGCCCTCGACATGATAGAAGAAAAACGAGAGGAGGCCTGGGTGCGATCCATGGAATATAAGCAGAAGATGCGTGCAGCCTTCGATAGGAAAGTCCGTAGCAGACGATTTCAGGTTGGAGATCTCGTCCTCAAACGAGCAGATGCTCTAAAACACGTCGGGAAGCTTGAAGCTAATTGGGAAGGACCTTACACCATCACCAAAGTGCTCGAGAGAGGTGCATATGAGCTCGAAGATGGCGAAGGACGACAGTTGCCACGATCTTGGCACGTAATCCATCTCAAGCGTTTTTATGCCTAAGAATAGTATTTTGAACTCTTTTGTACTGAGCAATGCTTAATCAAATTCAGTAATGCAATGATTCCCAAGTTTATGTTCAGAATTGTGTTTTTACATTTTCATATCGACATCATTATGATTGCTCGAAAAAAATTGAATTTTTCAAAACGGCCATAAAGCCGATTAACTCCAACGACTATGAGGTCGATCTAAAACAACTACGACGTTGTATGCCTCGAGTGGAATCTCGGGAAAAGGCTATGAAGCCTACGACTATGAAGTCGATCTAAAACAACTACGAAGTTGTATGCCTCGAGTGGAATCTCGGCAAAAGGCTATGAAGCCTACGACTATGAAGTCGATCTAAAACAACTACGAAGTTGTATGCCTCGAGTGGAATCTCGGCAAAGGCTACGAAGCCCACGACTATGAAGTCGATCTAAAACAACTACGAAGTTCTATGTCTCGAGTGGAATCTCGGCAAAGGCTACGAAGCCCACGACTACGAAGTCGATCAAAAACAACTACGAAGTTGTATGCCTCGAGTGGAATCTCGACTAAGCTACGAAGCTTGTGATCACGAAACCTATAACTACGACTAGCTATAAAGCCGCTAAAATCATTGCTCGTCTTCGACCAGCTCGCAAGCCTGGTTGGGAGAAGACGAGTTGAAAAACGTTATTGTTTACCAGCTATGAAGCTGCTAAAATCATTGTTCGTCTTCGACCTGCTCGCAAGCCGGGTTGGGAAGAAGACGAGTTGAAAAACGTTATTGTTTACCAGCT